CGCCTTTTCCACTAGGGTGACCATACATCCATTATCATTAGCCAAACAAAATAATTATATTATAAACAAATTCACTAGACCAGAGAGGTGACAAAGCCCTAGCTTCGATCGTCTTCTCTGGTGGATTCTTTTTTGTTCCTGCAAAAATAATAAATGTTAGGGATCCAAAGATACCCAACCCCCCTAAATCCAACCCTGTGAATTCAATGGGAGTGGTATCTTTGGCTAAATCATGCTAGGTTATGAGATACGACTGAAATATCATAGATTAGACCAAACATGGCAATCCGTGGTTCTTACTGCATGAGACCCCTACAATGATCCAATCATGTATAAACATGTCTCAGAAACACATTAATAGCATTAGCATGCCATGAAACAATACAGAAATTGAAATATGAATTTGCAAAAAAAAATGAAATCAGAGATGTATGCATGCTGGTTTTGTGAGCTCCGGGTAATCAAATTTGATCCATTCTTACTCTGTAATTCTCCTGGAATCGATTGGAAGTACTGGTATGTGTTGAAGGTGGATAAAACTAGGGTTGGAGGTTTGCCCTAGCTTGAATGATTTTAAGATTTTTGAGAGGTGTTTCTTGCAAAGATGTTTCCTTCCCTGTCTTGTTTGAATTGAGGAGAATATATAGCATGAAATTAGGTCAAATAAAACATGGTCTTGGACTTGTGTAAGAAGCCTTGGACTTATCTTGTTTATTTTGAATTTAAAATTAATAAAAATCAAAATAAATAAAATAAAGAGGTCAAGGGGTGCATGAAGTAATTAAGAGGTTCATATGAAGTGTAGAATGTGCATGGACCTTGAAACAATAGCCCATTAGCCCAAAAATTCAAGTTTGCTCAATTTGAACTTCAAGCATTTGCTCAAAATTTCCCAACTTGCACTAGTCATAACACTCTCAATTTTCATCATTTGAAGGTGATCTTGGACTTTTTGGAAAGCTCAAGGTGTCCTATAAAATCTCTATGTGTATCATTTTTTCATTTGAAGACTTCATCTTGATGTAAGTTGCCTTGAAAAAAAGTGTCTTTTTGTTGGCTTTTGAAATAACCTATAATGTATTGGCCCATATCTCTCAAATGAAGCATTTTTTGGACTTGAACTTAGAGAGACAAAGTTGTAGAGAATTAAATTTCCTTCAAGATGAGCTTTGGTTGAGAAAATATAATGAGCATGTGGAAGTTATGTTTGGTCAAAGTTCAGTTGACTTCTTCTTAAGAAAATCCTAATTTAGTAACTTTTGACTTTTGAGGAATCTTGAGTTTTCTTGATGAATCAAGATCAAAACTTGATAAAATGATGAATACAACTTCAAAATATTTATGTTGACCAAAAATGTTGAAGTTTGACTGTATATTGACCATAATTGACTTTTTTCCCAATACAGTTGAATTTTAATCATCTGAACAATTGACTGAGCAAACTTGTGATGCGAGGCTTGAAACTTGACATGGGTATTCCTTGAGACATATGAGGAACTATGAAATCCATTTGAGTCATTAGAAGCTTAATTTTCTTTGAGAAGCACAAAACCCTAGTTGTAGGTAATTTGCTTGGGAGGGGGTTTGTCTGATCCAACGTTGAGTAGCCTTGAACAATTGAAAACCCTAGAAGTACGAGGAGATGTCTTGAAGAAAATGTGAGGGTAAATTCTGGGGTACAATAGTTTCCTCTGTTAAATCTTCTTAAACCTTAAGAGTTAGATTGACATGTCCACCATTAGCGATCTGAAGGTGGAAGAGGATTGAACACTTAAGTGCCCAGAAATTTTCACTCGTCGGTGCACGAAGTAACACTGTTGGTTGATAGTATTACTTGAATGGGCTTAAATATGCCATTAGACGAGTTGACAAAGTGTCGGCAGAGATGGGCTTATAGATTCCATCTGAAGTAACCGTTGACGGGAGTATCAGGATGAGTCTACATTTGGCTGTGAAGAATGTTATCCAGAAGGAAAATGCTTGTCAAAATTCAGTCTTTGGGGGGAACGCTATTTTCAGAATGGAGGCCCTAAAGGAGAATGCTCCTCAGAATTCGGTCTCTGAGGGGGAATTCTTGTCAGAAATTAGTCTCTGAAGGAAATCATTTAGTCATGCAGATAGTCGCTCCGTCCTGTTTGGGGAATTTATCCACAATCTAATTTTTTTTGGTAAACCTATCCTATTTCGGGAATTCATACCGCCTGGTTATATAGATAGTTGCCCCTTCTTGTTTCAGGAATTATTCTATGACCTGCTTTCTTGCTGGTAAACCCGTCTTGCTTTGGGAATTCATACCTCCTGGTCATATAGATAGTTGCCCCGTCTTATTTCGGGAATTAATCTTTGACATGTCTGAAAATTATTGATGATATTCGTCTGTTTGCGAATTTTACCTGAAAAAACAAAATTAGCTTTATGGAATATCATGATGCATGTAATGCATCAATGATGCTCTCAAGATAAATGAGAATGTTATATGCGTTTCAGTGTGCATGTGTTATGATACTTGTAAATGATGTATGGATGTGAGATGTCGTTGAAGCGTATTGGTAGCTTTGTATAACATCTCTGGCTGGGGAAACTAAATCCCTGACTGTTGTCGGGGGTGAAGAATATGAATATTCAAATTTGTTTAGAATGTCTATTATGGGGATTCCCACTTTCTGCTTTGAGGATATTCCGCTGGAGGCATTTGACTTCTTCTTGGGGATATAAGAGTTTAGGAACATTGGTCGCTCGCTGCTTTGCGGGGGAATTTAGTTCTTATATACCCTGATTGGGATAAAAGAGATGGATAACCTTTTGAGGAGTGTCTGACCGAGTTTCCGATATGGATACCATCTCTTTTGGGGAGGACAATTAAGTGATATCCGGCCCAGTTTGAGATTCCATAGTAACTCTCTGGCGGTAGCAGCCTTGGATATACCTTGTTGGAGAAGATATTATTGTCGGATATTTGCGGTGATCGTAGAACTGAACTCTGCTTGAGAAATAAACCCTGTTGGGGAAATAGACTATGTTGGAGAAGAGGATTATGCAGGGGGTTTTACGATGTTGGAGAAATAAACTCTACTGAGGAAATGAGCCCTGTTGGAGAAGAGAATTCTGCAGGGGATAGTGTTGGAGAAATAAACTCCGCTGGAGGATTGAATTCCCGTGAACTATGCTGAGGACATAATCTCTAGTGAGGACTGGAATTCTTTAGGTCGTGCGGGATAAGTTTCCACTATATACGGGACAAATGATCAAACTCTTTTATCCACTAGGGGATGTGTTGGGGAGTATGGTTATGTTAAGATGCCCCAATTTCTGTCTGAAGACATATTAGACTTACTGAGTAATGTATCTCCATCGGGGATGAGCTTGTGCAGGTGGCTCCTGTAGAGATTTTTCTGTGGGGGTTTGTAGACGACTTGAACGTTAACCCAACTCCTAGAATCTTTAGTAAAGGCCAATTCTTGTTTTTATGCATATATTTGTTAACAGTAATCATATTCGTATGCATATGTTTATTCAATAATTATTGGACGTTTTTGCTAACAAAACAGGGAAAGTAGAGTAGATTTGAATTTTGAATGATTTGTATTAATAATTTGCCTATAAACATGCGGTTTTGTACAAGGAGACTGAGATCCTAGTGTAGCGATAAAAATGTAGCGTGGTAAATCGGAGATCGAGCTATTAATTAACTCGACTCACAAAAGCAAGGGTCGCCACCACGCTTTATTATTTCCAAGGGTAAAGGGAAAAGAACGAAATAAAACCCTTAAATATGCAATGTAAAATAATACTTAAAAGTAATGAAAATACAATATGTTCTTTGAAAAGAGATCTAGAGTTTAGGGGTTGGTTATGCAAAGGGAAGGCATTAGCACCCAATGCATCTGCCGTACTCCACAAGAACCTTTTGAAATATATGTTTTTAAAAATTGTTTGTTTGATTAAAATGGTTCGTTTGGTAAAAATGGGTGTGAACGAGATTTTGAAGATGCGACGACCTAATGTCGAAGTTTTGACTTAAAAGGTGTGAGTTTTAAAATTGAGTTTTTAGGAAAAATTAACTTAAGTTTAGCAAAATAGTAAAACAAAAATGAAAGAAGGTATTCACACAATCGTATAAGATGTATTTTTGATGACATGAAGTCAACATAATTAAAACATTTCCTTTGGAATTGAGACAGACGAAAAATACAAAGATTAAATGATCGAGAATAAAGTTAAATAAAATGATAATTGAATAACAAAAATTCAATAAGAGATTAATTTATAAGCATGTATTTAAACGATTAAATAAATAACCAAAATTAAATAAATACTAAATTATAATAGCATGTATTTTTAACAATTAAATAAATAACAAAATTTAAATAAAGACTAAATTATAAAACGTGTATTTTTGTATTTTTTTTAATGGCAAGAAACAAATTATATAATGAATTAAGTTAATATTTTATTAAAATTGAAAAATAAAAAATAAAAGGCCCTAGCAGGGGTTGAACCCGAGTCCTCTTGGTTGCAGAATACAGGCCTTGCCAACTGAACTATATTATTTATTCGTTATTATTATGGTTCTATTAATAAATAAGGGGAAATGATAATTGGATTGGGCCGAAAGGCCCAAAGGGATGACCCGGTTTGGAGGAAAGTAACAAGGAAAATATTCAAACCCTAAAAAACGATAAAGAGGCGCCGTTGTTGGTCTGTTGCAACATTGGGAAGATAAAACAAAATAATTGGTAATGATAAACTTTATTCCTATGTTGTACCGTAAAACAAAATCAAATAAAATTATCTCTCTAAATCAACTTCATATTCCTCTTTCACTTTCCTCCCTAACTTAAATCTCCGAGCTTCTCTCTATTATACAAAACACAACAACAACCCCTCAACATAATGGGAATTTTTCCAATAACATTTCTCTTCTTCTCCGGTCTTAGGTTATAAGGGCTTCCGCGCGCATTGGGTTGGTGGTTTGAGAATCAGGTTTGTGGACGAGGGTAATGAGGATGGTGATGGCAGGAACGGAGAGAGAGAGAGAGTTGTGGTGTTGTTGTTGTTGTGAATGGCATATGATGATGAAGGTGGTTGAATGTGAAGCAATGGAGGTGATGAGCGACTGGATGAAGGTGTCACATCAGATGAAGAGTGGTCGTGGATGTTGGTGTTTGGAGGATGACGGTGATGAGGAAAATGGAGGAAGGTTGGAGTGGTACTGGATGATAGGTGGATGGGATGGTGAGGTCACAAACAACATAGGATAATGAATGGATAACAGAGAGCTTAAAACAGTGAGGTGGAATGGCCTTATCAAACATTCAGAGGACCTGCATTTACTGGTTTCTAATGGAATCTTGAAATTTACATCCCATATGAATCATCCATCCCTGTTTTCCCTGCTCTCCACGAACGATCTTTTAGCCTCCGTGGCTTATATTGGTGCTTGTGATTCCTTGGACTTCTTAACCGCAACTTTGTTTGAAGCAAGCCCATTAGCAAATTTGAATGAACTGGTGTCATCCAACACGTGCTCAAGTTTTGGTGTAAGTATAGTTTTAACATCTGAAGAATCTTTAATATCAGAAGAATCTGACACATGCGAATTATCTTGGTCATGTCCAGTGGAATCTTCAGAAGCTAATTCTTGATTTGACACATTAGGAGGCATCGCATAATGAGGCAGCTTTCCATCAATGTAATCTTTCAGTATCTGTCGATAAGCTTTGGTTTCATCAAGAAGTCCGCTAGAAGTAGATTTAAGTACTGCTTTAGGAGCTTTAAAGGAGGAGATTGGGGCATAAGAATCGTCGTGATATACTGTTTTGTAAGGATAAGGCAATATTCTTGTATTTCCGGTTTCATTAGTACATAGGGTAAAGAAGACGAAGCTGAAGACGAAGCTCGATGGTAAATGATTCTTGGCGAGGAAATAAACAGTAATAAATTACTTAGGTTGGGAAAAATATGATGGGGATTTTTATTTATATATTTGTTTTGTGTTATTACTGTATATTTTCCAGTACTTGTTATTATTATCCTAACAGTTCTAATGCCAACAAAAATGCAGCAGCTCCATAAAATAGTAAAGTGGTAAATCAAGCATTTCATATGGCATAAAAGTGGGCAAAGAAGATTCAAATCGATGGATATATGAGAAAGTTATGCAGAAGTAAATAGGTAAGAAGAAATACCTATCGGAGTCTCTCCAATGGAGCTTCTAGAAAATAGTAAGTTCTCCCTTTGATGCTTAAGCTCCTTTTTACTTTAATCCTTGCTGAGTTTTTCTTGTTGTTAAATTTTTTGTGTTTCCTCTTCCTCTGATTTTTTGTGTATCTTATTCTGTCCATGAAGAGGGTTTTTATAGTGAAGTAACAAGGCATTTAGGAGGGAAAACACTAGAACATTTGAATTGTTTTGACAAACTGTTTTGATGCTTTGTTCATATAATTTTTTTTAGCCATATTGATACAATTTCTGGACTGTTTTGATGCAGGGTAGCAGACTGTACAGACTGGTTTACAACAGATTTTTAACAGTTTTTTCACCAGGTTTTGGACTGTTTTGTAGGTTGTTTTTGCTGCATTTTTTGGGTTGTTATTACTACATTTTTATAACAGTTTTGGGACTGTTTTGTAGGCTGGTTTTACAACAGATTTTGGGGTTGTCTTGGACTGTTATTACTGCTTTTTGGGACAACAAAACACCACAAAAATTGGACTTTTATTGTATTGCAACAGGGCTGGAAAATATGGGCAGCAACATGATATTGGGCTGGAATTTTAGGACATTAGAAATAATAGTTTGTACAAACTTGTAATTCCTTGTAACTTTGTAGTGATGAATCCAAATGAAATTGTAACATGAATTGAAACTTGTTCTTCAATATAATTCTCTCAATTCTTTTGTAATTGTAAACATTTGAATCTTTATTCATCTTGATGAAATTCAAAATCTTCCATTTGAATTTGGAAAGGAATAATTGATATTTGAATGAATTATTGAATGATGAATAAATAATAATGCAAACCTTAAGACTTCAATCTTGCATTTTGTAATAGAGATCCAAATAAATTTCATGAATTGATCTTGTAATAAAATTGTAACCATAATGTATTTATTCTTGTGATGAATGACAAGTTTGAATCAAATTTATTTTTCCAATATCTTCTTGAATAAATGCCTCATGTAAATTCAAATGGCCATGGTGTGAATCCATCAAAATAATCACACAAAAATAATCTTGAATAAATATTAATGCGATGAACGATTATTTTTTGATGAGATCTTTGATAACCTCTACTTAATTAACACTTGGATTCTCATGATGAAAATTCCAAGTATTCTGAATAAATTCTTCCAAAGCAATCTTGAATTTAATCATCCCACTCTAAAGAAATTCACCCCACGTCATGTAAGTATAAGAAATCGAACCACACTTAAAAGCTTTGAATGATCACTAGAAAAGGGATTTGAGGTGAAATGTTATCGCGTTGAAAAATTGGCACAGTGGACTGAAATAAGAGATCCAGAAAATCTTAAATCATGACAGACGTCCCATAAAGGCTTTTCATGGCTTTCTAAACACAATGGTTTTCAAATCTTAAATAAAACTTGCAGATGACTTTCGGTTAAGGTGTTTTGAATTGACTCGCATAGCCTGATCTTTTCTTGTATTTCAAGGCAAGACGAAACACACGTGAACCAATAGTCATGTAACCTTGACTGTTCTTTTTGAATTTCGGAGACGCTTGAGACCATCTGTTGAAACAAAGCATGGAAATAAACACACTATTCTCTGAAAGTTCCCTTCAGGAATCAATCTTCGAGAATCAATGATCGATTGTACTTCTGGCTTGAAAGGCTCAAAACCCTAATTGAGACGTGACACCTGATGCTTTGGATTCAGACCTGTTTCTGCACATGAAATCAAAGAAACAAAAACATACACTTCGTGCTTGATTAGAAGTTAGTCATGCATAAGATAAAATGCTCACAACACTCGATAATCTCTACACAGACAATGCTAAAAGGTGAAACATTCGAAATCGACCATATTTCGTGGCCTTGATGTATATAACAAAAAATGCAAATGAAGATGGGATCTTAGGTCAAAAATTGGGGTATGACACCTAGTAAGAGGAAATCGTCGAAAAATGAAAAGTGTACAAAGTAAAAACAAAAACATATAGCTATGTGTAAACAATCCCATCGAGTTTCAACTCTGCTATTACCCTTATGTCTTCGAGCATCTCATCCCTTAGCGTCAGAAGAAGTTGACTGAATCGATCTGTATCTTTAGAACTTAATGTTGGTAACAAATCTTGTTGTATATAGGTGATCCAACGGGACATAGTCGTACGCTTTAATCCCTAACTTTTACCTAAACCGCCCTTTTGGGTTTTCAGTCCACCAGAATACCCTTTTTCACCCAAGTCTCCTTTTCAGGTTTTCGACTTGCCGGGTGTACAATCTTTATATATATATCCCTAATTTTTGCCCGAACCTTTTTGGTTTTCCGAGATTCCCTTATTTTTTCCCAGGATAGTCAACCTAGCGGGTCACTTTCATGCATAGTATCTTTTAATTATATCCACGTTCACCGAGTGTGGAAAATCTTCTCCGTCCATGGTGGTAAGTATCATAGCACCGCCCGAGAATACCTTCTTAATCACAAATGGCCCTTCGTATGTGGGGGTCCATTTGTCCCTAGGATCACCTTGTGGTAGGATGATATGCTTTATTACCAAGTCACTAGCCTGATATACCTGATGTTTAACTTTCTTGTTGAAGACTTTGATTATACGCTTCTTATACATCTGGCCATGACAGATATCCGCAAGCCTTTTCTCGTCAATCAGATTTAACTGGTCTAGCCTAGCCTGAATCCACTTGTTTTCATATAAACTTGCGTCTTTCATGATCCTTAGAGAAGGAATCCGGACTTCGACATGTAGGATAACTTCCATACCGTAGACTAGAGAGAATGAGGTTGCCCCAATTGATGTCTACGCTGAAGTGTGATAACCTTGAAGAGCAAATGGTAACATATCATGCCAATCTTTATACGTCACCGTCATCTTCTGTATAATCTTCTTGATGTTCTTATTGGAGGCTTCTACTGCGCCATTCATCTTTGGTCGATACAGAGAAGAATTATGGTGCTTAATCTTGAACTGCATGTAGAGTTCCGTGATCATAGTATTGTTAAGATTAGTACCATTTTCTGTGATAATCCTTTCGGGGATGCCATACCGGAAGATGATGTTATGATTAATGAATCGGGCCACTACATTATTTGTAACAGAGGCAAACGAGGGTGCTTCAACCCACTTTGTGAAGTAATCAATAGCGACGAGGATGAAGTGGTGTTCATTAGAAGAGGTAGGTTTAATCTATCCAATCATATCAATGCCCCATGTTATACCCCAAAATTTTCCCTCCCTTTTCTTCAAGACATCTCTCACAAATAATTCCCAAATGCTCAAGGATCCTCAAGAGTTGATCAAACAAGCTCACCTCCTAAGCACTGAGTCCACAACTAGGATTTTATTTCCTCAAGGAAAATTTTACTTCTAATGCCTTAAGTGACTTTCATTGTTCATAATAAGTCTCCAAGAATGCTCATACCAAGTTTCAATCCTTGCATCACAAATATGCTCATTCAATTGCTCAGATGACTAAAAATCAGTTGTATTGGGTAAAAAGTCAATTATGGTCAACATACAGTCAAACTTCAATATTTTTTCCAACATCAACATTTTGATGTAATATTCATCATTTTATCAAGGGTTGATCATAATTCCTCAAGGAAAGCACTCAAATCATCAAAGGGACAAATTTGTCAAAATTAGGGTTTTAACTGAGAATAAGTGGTCATTGACTTTTGACCTAGTACATGACCTAATGACTTGAAGCATGACCTTAAGGACTCAAACACAACATATTAACCTAATTACATGGTTCAATACATTTCCAAAGGTGCAAGAGATTGATAGTTGAAGAATTAAGATCAACAGATAAAAGTCAACTATCACACAAAAGTCAAACTTTGACTTTTTGGTCAACTTTGAACTTCAAAAGTCAAGAGTCATCAAAACATTCAAATTTGTCAAGCTTGATCAACAAGAATCAACAAAGTCAATAAAATTCATCAAAAAGTCAAGATTTCAAATACTTAGAAAAAAATTCTAAGTGTTTTATCCTTGATAAATTTACTACTTCATGACCATTTTTCACTAAGATGCAAGATGATTCAAGGAAAACT